ATGACCTTCTGGCATATCAGCTGTTTTTCCAGTTTAGTGTCATCAGCAAACTTGCTCTGCCCCATCATCCAGATTATTAATGAAAATGTTAAACAGGACTGGACCCAATATTGACCCCTGGGGTAAAGTGCTAGCTACTGGCCTCTGTATAGACTTTGCACCACTAGTCACCACTGTCTGGGTCCAGTCATTCAGCCAGTTTTCAATCCACATTATTGTCTGCTCATCCAGCTTGTACATCAACAAGCTGTCTATGAGAACCTTAAGAGAGACAGTGTCAAAGGCCTTACTGAAGTCCAGGTAGACAGTATCTGCTGCTCTTCTCTCATCTGCCAGGCCAGTCATTTCATCACAGAAGCATATCAAGTTGGTCAATCATGACTTTTTCTTGGTGAAGCCATGCTGACGGATCCTTAAGTACCTAGAAATGGTTTCCAGGATTAGCTGCTCCATTACCTTCCCAGAGATCAAGGTGAGGCTGACCAGCTCGTAGTACTGTGCATCCTCCTGCTTGCCCCTCTTGAAGACAGGAGCAACCATTGCTTTCCTCCGATCTTTGGGCACTTTTCCTGGTTGCCATGATCAATCTAAGAGTATTGAGAGTGGCCTCATGGTGACATCTGCCAGTTCCCTCAGCACTCATGGGTGCATTCCATCAGGGCCCATGGACTTACTCAGCAGGTACAGAGTCAGCTTAATTAACAAATAACCTCATCTCCATCAGTGATACAGAACTTTTGTGTGAAATTACTCTAATTAAGGCAGCTAATTGTATCAATGCCTTAAGTTACATTCTGTGCCAAATGACAGTCTCTGCCTCCTCTCAAAAATCAATAATCTGGCATTTCCTGTTTAAATTTTACATCTCCTTAAATCGCTTCTCTAAATAATCTTTTAGTTCCTTAAACATAGTAGTTATGAATAAATAATTCAATTTCTATAAGAAAATAAATAATTCTGCTTCTCAGGGCTTCCAAAGCCCTGTTCTTCCATCTTACCTGTGAACTTGAAATCTGCAAGCTAACTTCTGTGAATGGTTAAAAAGGAACAATTTTACCCTGCCTTAGAGGTTCATTGCTGATGTAGCAGCTTGACAGGAGATGTGGTGATATAGAATTTGGGCAGGGTCTGGGCAGCTCCATTCCAGCTTATGGTATCATGGACACGCAAATGGTATCTCCCCTTGGTGGTGGCAGACGTGGATGCTTGATGGATGAGGTGAGGTTGTTCTGTCCTTTGAGCTACAGATGGGTTGGTTACTCTACTAAAAGTGGAGGCACTGGTCAGTGACAGGGCACTTAAGAGGCAGTGGAAGTTGTAAGTACAGGAAGGTCTTGTACTGGAAGACCATGTTCCTCTTCCCTGAGAAGCTAACTTCTGACAAAGTGAAAGTCGAATTAATACTCAGCTATATGCAATTTTAAGTGAATAGACTTTTCAGTATGTATGGCACACAGAAACATGAATCTTTAGACTGTTGTGTGGAGAAATAGGAAATATGGAGACTGGCTGATACGAGATGGAATCTATTACTACACCACTTAAATTTTATTTCAAGAAACAATATGTAAGCTTCCTTTAAAAATAGTTCAAGGGAAGGCAAGAAAAGCCACAGTCACCGACATACATATGTTTTCTACTTTTTAAGGTAAATAAGGAGCTTGAAATGATGGTGTTTATTTTTAGAAGTAGTTATGTAAGTCTGTACGACCATGAAATGTTACAGAAACAGCTCTATTATATCGTATGTTATAAACAGGTGAGTTTGCCTGAAAATTGTGTGCAGTTCAAGAGTAAGTTGTTGTACGACTTGTAAAAACAGACAAGAGTGTGGAAATGACAGAAACCAAGTGATTTAGAGCTGGTGAAAAAGGTACCTTTTCAGGGAAAACTTGAGCCAAAGAAAAGTCCCTTTTCTTGCCAAACAGTGTCAAAGCACAGAATCCCCCAACAAGGCCTAATAAAGAAGCTAGTGTCTCCTGTGCATCAGTGTGAGAGCACTAAAATGAAATAGACTGTCTAAGAATGCAATAAATCGTATCGGGTCATTGCACTAATGAACAGTTTGGACCCAAACTCTCATTAGCTTGTCTGCAAGAAGAGAAAATTAGTAAAACAGGAAAAGGACATATGAGAGAAGCTCTTTGCTGGTACTGTCTTAAGCTTTTATTGTTGAAGGACACCCTTTAGCTAATTTCAGACCCATAAAAAAAAAAAAATTGTTTGGTGATTAGTAACCAGTGGATAAGAGCAGAAAGCCCAAGTGAATAACACCATAAATACCTAAGTCCTTGGTATAACAGCCTGTAAAACTGTCAAAAAGCATTACTTAAGTGATAAAAGATAGCCTCTGGTAACTAGAAGCGGCACCATAGGCACTAATCCATATTCATATATGGAAGGCATATTTTTAGTTCCTTCTTTTCTGTTAATAACGTTCATTCTTATGTTAAAAGCATCTGTTTCCTCTGGGTATGCTCTCATCCCAGATTTTTTAAAGTCAAAAAAGCTAGGTTTAATTTCTGATACTTAACAATTTTAACATTTATGCTAATCTGTATTTCTTGGAATAAAATTTCAGACAGGACAGTTTAAGGAAATCATGCAAATTGTTTCAAGAGGCATTAAGAACCCTTTTTCAAAGAGTATGGATGATAATTTTTGTTTCACTGGGACTTCTGTGGTTTGGCATCTCAAAGTGATCTTGCTAAAGCAGACCAAAATTTTTACCAGGAAGATATTTTAACAAATTTGTATGTATTCATATCCATTCTTTCTTATGATCCTGTCTCAGTTAGTCAATTCTGGGAGAAAATTTTTGACACAGAGCAATTTCGCTGGTGTGTGCATGCCTTGTAGTTGGACAAGACCAGGCCTTTTCCCTTTTTTTTAATTTCCAGTAAACTGGTTCAAAAAGAAAGCACTAGAGTTTTAGTAGTGACAAATATCTCCACACTTGTGTGATTTTTTTCCTACAGTTTTAGCACATCTTCAAGTATTTTAAACTGAATATGATAGTCTTTTAGTGTTTGTTATTTTTTAAAGGAATGGATTTTTATTTAAGTTAAAGTCCATGTTGAAATTAAGGAAAAATACAGTTAATGGAAATCTTCAGAAACCAGGTGTCAGCTATTGATTTTGCTGCAAAAAGCAGAAAGTGACAGATAAACCAGATGTTTAAGAGTAACCTGAACCTGGAAGACTGAAATTGATCCAGAATGATGATGTCTTTAAAGTTTGCAGTTACTCTTGTTCTCCATCAGTGTAGTCTGTTTCATGTTACCATAATTACTTTAGAGCTAAAAATCTTGTGTGGTTTTGTTGAAGTTTAGGCAGAGAAAAAAAAAAAAAGAAAAAAAAAAAAGAAATTTTTTTTGGAAACTGATTTTTGGCATAGTGTCAAGTGGTGCTGTAGTGTCTTCCAAAAAGGTCTGATGCTGTGGACCATGCAAGAATCTCTTACGGTACTCAGAAATGGGTTGTGTTGTTGGCTGGGCTGGGTTTTTTTCACAGGGTTGATTCACCTGTATACATGCTGTATATTCACATGCAGTCAGGCCCATAGTTTGCATTTTGACTGTGTGTCTGTGAGAACTGGAGCTGGTGTTGATTTAAGGAGAGCAGATGTTAATGGTGTTCTTCTCAAGCATTCTGTTGCTCAAATAGGCATCTCTCATTGTGAGAAAAGGCGGTAGCAGGCTGTAAATCTGCCTGCTCATTATGAAAAGCAACAATAGATTGATTTATGGAGAAAAAGCAGCTGTTAGCCTTAGGTAGTCTGCATGTGTGAAAATGGAGTTTTACAGTGACTGGGTATTACTGCTGGTATTTTCGAGAGCAATTTAGTTCTAGCTTAATCATGAGGGGTATTGTACAGGAGAGTCAGAAAACTTTTATTAGCCTGGATAACATGTCACGGTAACAGAGCTGTATAAAATTTCAAGTGTAAGCAGGTTTTCTTTTCAATAGTAGATTTTTAGATTGTTACTTCCTAACCTGATTTTCACCATTCTTTCTGTATGGACACTTTTTTCTTGTTTTATGTTCTCTGTTAGCATCCCCTGTGCCCAAATACCAGATTTGTTCTTTGTCTCATGTACACACATGGTTGTGCAAGTACATACTGACACCCATGCACTGAAAGCCACTGAGCCTAAGAAACAGCAAAAAAAGTATACAGAGACATTAAACAGGGCAACAGGAAGCAAGACTTCTCAGTACAACCCTTATAAGTCCTAACCACTATGAGAAAAATTAGGCAGAATTTTTAGATGAAGTAATAGGCGTTTTTCAGTGATTTTATAGAGACTTAGAGGGAAATCTATCAGTTTTAAACAATATTAGAAAAACAATGGATAGAACTGTTTGTTAAACAATGTAAACTGCTTTTAACAACTCTGTTTTAAAAATCTAGTTCTCTTTCGTAATCTATGGGTTCTAGGTAATTTCCCTGTGTAACAAGGCAATCTTTCTGGTTCAATCACTATTACAATGTCTTAATCCATATGAAAAGTGTTGCGATGAGGAGAAATCCAATAGCAGCAGAAAAGTTTATTTTGAGTACTCATCTTAAGACTTTTTATAAGGAAGAAGAAAAAGCTGTCTGAGGTTTTCTGGCATTTTGTGTGGTGTGCTCAAGTCTTCCTCTGTTTTTCGATTGTACTATATGACAAGAACACAGGAGCCTTAGTTGTATTATGAATTAATTTAGGCTCTTGTGTTGTATAGCCTTTCAAAGAAGGCTTTGGGAACTTCTTGTTAGGCTATCAGCTTTAGTAAAGCACTACACATGATGTAGTAGTGTGTATGCGTGTTGAGTGCATAGCAATTTCCACAATCTTTGCCTCACTGACACCTGAAATGAACATTTTTGAGTATTATTCTGTTTCGTAGTTCTTTTTTCTTGACAGCATGCCTTAGGCAGTAACTAACAGTAAGGAGTTTAGGCAAAAATGTTTCTTACAATGTTATTTATTTGCTTTCTTTTTTTTCCTTTTAAGTCTGAACAGCCCAGTCCTGCCAGCTCCAGCTCCAGTTCCAGTTTTACACCACCTCAAAACAGCAGACAACAAGGTACCAACAAAGGAAAAGAAATTGAAAGGAGTGTGTGAAATGGAAGGGCCAATAAAACCAAAACTGGTTGCATCTCATTACTACTTTTCTGGTGCCTTTCACAGCCTGAACTGGCCACAGCTTTACTTTAGAGACTTTTCCTCTGGTTGTTTTTGGATATGGCTGTAAGGGCAAAATAAAAGGGAAGAAGATATGTATCTGAGAAAAGAGTGTGAAGGGTATTTGTTTTGAATCACTAAATACATGCCAATCACTTAACAGATGCTAAACTCAGAAGACCTTCTGATTTTGAGGTTTTCCTTTTGCAGGGTTAGGTAGCATGGCACATGACTCTATCTGAAGCCCTGCTTAGGAAAGGTGTGGCTTCCCATGGAAGGCCCAAGGATATGTGTGTGTGTGCATGTGGACCCTTTCAAAGGCCATGATCTTCCCATACTTCAAGTTTTAACAGTATACAGTATTTACTTTAGATACATGGCAGGGGAAGATGATGGTTAGACTTCAAGTTGACTTTTAAGTTTGCATTTTGGTTTTTCTGTCTAATAGTTGTTGGAACTCAGTAAAGAAATGCATTTTTCTTCCCAGAGAACTTGCCAAAGCAGGTTTTCTGTAAATAAGTTGAGATTCATTCTACATGATCTATTAAACTACTTAGTTCCTGCTTGTCCTTTTTCCCTGGGTTCATAAGATTGTACAGCTGATACATTCTTAATCAGCTTTTGTTTTGTTCGACGGATCAGGAGCATTAATAAAAGCAGCTTTTGACTAATTAATGTTGCATTTGTTTTATCCATTCACATTCCTCAATGTTAGACTTGAATTAAGGTTGTGAAAATAGATTAGTTCCTCAGGCAGACAGTTTGTTTTTAAGTAGATCTACACACGACACATATTTGTTTTACTGCGTTTCTATAGGTGACTGGAACTGACTTTCTAAAGTGTTCTGGAAGCATTACTCTAGGTTGAAGAATGCAGTAGCTGAATTGAACTGTAGTCGATGACTGGCTTAAAGCATTTGAATTTTACCTGAGGCTCAATAGAACCTCGTCTTGATGAAACCCCATTTTTGCTCTCAAGAAACCTCGTTAGTGGTGTGAACTGTCCATTACAAGCCAAAATTTTGTATACCCCTTCCTGTAGTTGTTATCATACGTTGGGCAAAAACCTGTTGACTTAGTATTCTTCTGAGCAGACTGGTTGCATCTATCTTTTCTAGCAAATAGGGAGTTGCAAGTTTCATCTCCGTTTTGAAGAACACTCTGAGCCTCTCTTCATTCACATTGTTACTTTATGTTTCCTGGGTTGACGGAATTATAGAACCCTAATAGTACTTGCTGTTCCTGCAGCCGTTGTCATGTCTCAGATGGGCTGTACTTTAGAGATAAATGCCCTGGGTCATCAGTCTTGCTTGATTCCCTCTTGTAAGCTGCTTTTGCCCACTCTTACTTCAAGCAGCTGTAGTGTTATATTTCCTGGATACGTTAAATGTATTCGTCTTTCTGTAACTGTCTTATACAGCAAAATAAGTTGAGTAAAATCAAACCAAAATCCCAAACTGAATTTAATGCAGTTTTACGAGCAAGTCAAGCTTTGTACCTTCTGTTAATTCAGGAAAAGAGATAGCATGGTGTTGCACGGAATTGATGCACTTTTTACATATGAACATTGGCGGAGTGCTTACTTGACCTGAAATTGAGACTGAAATGTAGGGAACAGTGAAAGCTAAATATGTAAAAAACAGGACAAAGACTGCCTTGGCCCGTAGGAGTTTGTCAGAATGATTTGGTAGACTCTGCTTCTCAATACAGGGATTAACCTAACAAATGTACTGTTACTGATCTTTACTCACATAAAATACTTCTGCTTTGAGAAAGTAAAAAAACACTGAAACTCAGCAATGCGAAAGAGTCTTGCTTCTAATAATAATACAGTAATAGTAAGTTTCTTCTGGCGTGACTGTATTTTACTTACTTCATCCATGGTCCAGGGGGCCAATCCTGCAAACACTTAAACATATGAGTCCCTTAAATGTCATGAGTAAGTCTATTGAGGCTCAGTGAGTTCCTTGTGTGAGTAAATGATTCATGGATAAGTCCCTGCAGCATGAGACCCCAGTGCGTTACTTCATTAGTTTAATGTTTAGGACTCTCCCCTCCCAACACTGTGTGAGGAGGGTAGTTTTCTGTCATCTACAAAGCTGGGTGAATTTCCTGGAACACTGCAAAGTGAACATGATTTTTGTATTTTATTGTCTCTGTTTCAGGTCCGTTGAGGTCTATAATGAAAGACCTGCGTTCAGATGATAATGAAGATGAAACAGATAGAGCAGATGAGAATGACAATGATTCTGAGTTGGAACATCCTGTAAATACACAAGGGGGAAGCAGGAGTCGCAGGTGAGTGTCTTGTGACTGCAAGTAGCCTGGTGACCAAGACGTACTTGTTACTAATGGGGTGAGGTCTGATGTTCTCAAAGGGTGCTGAGTAGCAAATGGGCAGAGAATTCAGACTCTGTAAAAGTGCCTCTTCTAAAAACTATCAGAGTTAGCCATTCGCAATATAACTTATTTTTGTACTAATCCGTATGGTTATGATGATCCTCATTCATTTGACTTTCCTTGATTTCACACTGTTGTGACTTCAGGGGAGTAGTCATAATTATTCTCTAGCATAAATGAGATAAAATTAAGTCCATCAATTGCTGGAACAGCTACTCTGTACATAGTGTTTCATTTTCAAGATCTCTCTGCTTACCAGTTTTAAATTAGGTTGTTAAATTGGATCAGAATCAATGAAATTTGTGTTTAAAGTAATTTGGATGCTGCATGCAGTAGCAGATTTGTGAAATTGCAGACAGAATGTAAAGCAAACATCTGTCACAGAATTTACTTTTTAAAAAATGCTTCTGCGTCCTAGCTTCAATCTTAAGAGAGTGGTCCAGAAATTATCTGTTCTTCGGGAGCCTGAAGGTCCATCTGAATGTTGTCGATTGCTGTCTGAAACTGTCTCTCTTGGACCTTTTCATAATGGGTTCTTCATCTGATCTACAGGGTTTTGCTGTCAGTGCAGAGCACCCAAGTTGCCTGTATCAGCTGCTGCTTAAATGGGAATGTAACAGGAAATCATTAATGAATGTCAGCTGATTCCCTGGTGCACTTTAGCAGCTGGAATCAAGGAGAAAAAGACTAAGATAACTAGTGGTTTCAGAATTTGTTCACGTCGGTGATTGCATAAAGGATTAACATAAGCTCAATTTATCTCTAAGTGTGAGGATTTTGTTTCCTTTTTTTTACAAAACCTTATGGATAATGTTTCTTTACATTCTTTTTAATCCCAGATAAATATTTTTTTTTCTTCCAACAAATAAATATTCCCTGTTGTTCATAAGTAAATGGAGGGTGAGACTGATGAGAAGCTGAGCTTTTCCTTGTGGCCTCTCCTGAGATACCAAGTTTTTAAATTTCATCCAGGAAAAAGAGTTTTAAGGAACTTTTCCATAAAACGCTTGTCCAAGTGGGAAGTACAGCTGTTCAGAAAGCTTTTAGAAGAGCAGAAAAGTGTTTCTGGAATGTTGGAAACAGCAGTTTACTGTTCTAAATAATAATTTATGTAACCTTAGCTGCTGTTAACTGGACATGTCATATCAGCCAAGTGCAGGTGGACATCCTCATTCTCCATGCTGTGCAGAGCTTTTTCTAGAGTATGGCCCTGCTCAGATGCCTCTCTTCCACATGACCTTGATTACTGATGGCTTGCTTAGTGAGGGGTCATGTTTAGTGCCCTACCTCAAAGTGCAAGCTTGGTTCACTTCTGTTGGCAGCTTTTTGTCTGGAGGTGTAATTTCTTGGCTCTCTTTTTTCCATAGGGTTAGTCTGAGTGATGGCAGTGACAGTGACAGCAGTTCAGCTTCCTCACCACTACATTGTGAACCAGCACCACCTTTACTGAAAACCAACAACAAACAGGTGAATTCAGGTTTCGTAAATGCAGTTCTAGGGAGCTGATATGATATTTTGCTTACTTCAGTGCAGTTACTTAGTCTGTAAACTGACATAAGAGTTTTTTTCAGGAGATGGAGGAGTACTTGGTTTAGCAAATACTATAGACCAAAGTAATGTTTTCATAAATATGTTAAGAAATGTGTTCTTTCTGTATGATTTAACTTTGCAAGGTAAATAATGCAAACTAGCTTTACAGCACCAGTCATACCATTGATACAGATTTGGGTTTGTGTTAGTGGTACACACAGCATCCATTTCCAGGAGTTTATTCATTCATCCTATTCCCCTCTCTCCCACCAGTAATTATCTAGAAGATACAATATTTTTTACTTCACTACAAGACGCAACAGTGTTTACTTCACTAGCAGAGTACTTATTGCATATCTGTAAGAGCTACCACTGTTGTTGTTTTTGAGATAGGAAAACAGGGTAGTTCTGTTTTTCAGAGAAAAGAAATTGAATAACCTAGAGCTACAAAATACAGCAGTGACAAATGAGAATTAGTGTTTGGGAGTTACCTCACTCCTAGTCACCAATAGAGTAAGGTTCTCTAGCTATAAAAATTCAACATAAAAGCTGATATAAATTATTATTTTTTTTTAAAAAAGAATAAAATAAATAATTTGTCACTTATTTTAGGGAGCCGTAATTCACTCCCAGTGTCAGTTAGGTCATACAATAAGCACTCATGAAGTCTACTGACTGGCAGTAAATGGCTGCTTAAAATATTGATGTAGTGTGCTGGGTTAACCTCGGCTGGGTGCCAGGTGCCCAGCAAGCCATTCTATCACTCGCCTCCTCAGCAGGACAAAGGGAAACAAAATGATGGAAAAAAAGCCTCATGGGTCAACATAAAGGCAGTTTAATAAAGCAAAAAGCCAAGGTCACATGCGGAAGCAAAGGAAAGCAAAATATTTTTTTCTCTACTTCCCGTCAGCAAGCGATGTCTGGACACTTCCCAGGAAGCAGGGCTTATGTATACGCAGCAGTTGCTCCGGGAGACAAATGTTATACTAACGAATGCCTCCCTCCTTTTTGTTAGCTTTTATTGCTGAGCAGACATCATATGGTATGGAATAGCCCTTGTATTATTTTGTCAGCTGTCCTGGCTCTGTCCCATCCTAAGATCTTGCCCACCCCCAGCCTACTGAGGGATAATGCTGGAGTGACAGCCTTGAATGCTGTGTGAGCACTACTGAGAAGTAGCCAAAATGCTGGTGTTATCAACACCTTTCTAACTACAAATACAAAACACAGTACTGTTGTCTCACAAGCAGAGTTCATCAACTGGTGTGCGATAAGCCAATACACACAGAGCCAAGATATTGTTTATTGCATGTCTGTGCAAAGATGGGTGCTAGGTGGTAATTCCAAAGCTAGCACCACCGGTTTCAGTCACAGTGTGTATTTATACAGTTCAAAATGTTAGTTCCATCTACTTTGCCACATCCTTCTGAGTATACTTGGTTAGTTTTTATCTCTTCTTAATTGCAGTTGGTTAGTTCTTTTCTCACTTGTATCCTTGAATTTACTACACGTGCTCGGTAAGTGGGGGTCTTAATTCAGGAGGGCTCTCCTGACACTTGGAGGTGTGATTTTTTGGTATTATAATTATATTAAAATGAGGATAGGTCACTTTTGGACGGTGCTAATCACTAACTTGGCTGACTACTGCAGACATACTGATTATTTTCCAGGATGTTCCTGTCTTCAAGTGTAAATCTAACAAACCTTAAGTGTTAAAGTTTTTCTCAAGAGTCCCAAGGACAGTCATCCTAATCTGGACAGAGAGTATATATTTGTTAGGTTAGCTTCAACTTGCAACAGCTTTATGAGGACTGCTATTGGGAAAATTAACTCCATCTCAGCCAGAGCCAATGCATATGGTTAGAATAGTGTCTACATGCGTTAACAAAACTTTGTGGTTTAGCTGGTGAGTTTTATGGATGAGTCTTTCCTATATCTCTTAGGTTAACTGCTTCAAATATCTGGAAAGTATTATTTACTTGTCACTGTTTTTCTAATAAGATGTCCACTACAAGCTTACTGATAGCGGAAAACCAAAACATTATTATTCATGTTGGTTAAGATTAAATACACTGTGGAGAAAAAACCTTGGGAGTAGTTTGTGCACAGAGAGAGGAAGGAGATTCCATGTTGAGAAAGCATTCTTACTGTCCAACAGAAATTCTGTAGGTTTTTCTAAGTTGATGTGTACAAATTTATAAGTCTGTAAGAGAGACTTTTTTGGGGAAAAAAGCAAACTATAAAGATGAAGAATATAGCATTTACTGGAGATATACGGATAAGAAAAATAAAACATCTGTCTGACTTGTTGTTTCGTGAAGACTAACATCTACAGAGGCAATGTAATTGTTCAGTAATTGTAAGTCTCAATATCAGGAGCCCACTGAGTCAGATCTTGCATGTTCCTTTCCCCTTTGGTGATCTGACAGAAGGTTTACCTGCGCACTTAGACATTGCAAACAGCAGTGTCCCATCTGCAACTGAATGTCGTGTACCTTCTTCCATTTTTATAATTGAGCTGAGTTTTATAATCAACCTGAAAATCTGAAATTTAGGGAAGCATTATGAGAATTCAAAGTGTATGGACTCGTAGCCACATTTGAAATCTCTGATTGGTAGTATAGTGCTGCTTGCCAGGATGGTGCTTTTGACTGATGAGATCAAGCTTGTGTTGACTAAGTCTATTCATAGAACTAAAGAGCTGAGACACAGTTAATATTTCTGTAAGCTTACTCAGATGTGATTAGTGCTGTGTCTCATCTAAACAACAAGCTCTTAAGGTGCTAAATTTCAACTACAGATCAAGAACACTGTAAGACAGCAGCATTTTCAAATGTACTGTGTTCTTGCTAAGGTTCTTTTTGAAACCAAAAATTTTCCTCCTTTAAAAAAAAAGACAAGCATCTAAAAGATCTGCCTAGACATCTGGGTCTTTTTTAAAACAAGACTACTTTTTTCCAGTGGCCTACACAGCAGTAACCCCGGGGATGCTGAATTCAAGAGCTGGGATTCTTTCTTTGGGAAAGCATGATGTTTTGCTTACTGGCCATATATTGCTCTTGGCTAAGCAAATCTTTAAGTAAGGTTAACTCAAATCTGCAGTCACTTTCTGTATATAGGGAAATAGCTTCCTGCCTGCTGTATTCTTATGGTGCTGATCACCCTGGGGAGCATATATGCAATTTTAGTAATTTGTACCAAGGGAAGCAGAGATGACAGGGAACTTAAAGAAAGCTGTCAGGGAACCTTCTTGCTAATCTACAAGACTTGCTTTTACATGCCTGATTTCCTTGTTTTATTTGCTGAATTTTGTCCTGTGTTGTGACTGTCCAGTGTAGTTTTGAGGATAATCATACTAGTGACATTAGTCTTACCTACAACGAAATGTGAAACAAAATCTCCCATCATCTGTGATAATTTATTTTCCTTTGATGTCTTTCAGAAGAACTGATTATATTCCAGGTTAGGAATGACATGGTGATGTTTTTTATTTTTAACTCTTTACTTCAAAAAATGTGTGTTGTGTGCGAAAAAATTGGTAGAATGATCAACAGTTCTGTTTCCCCCAAATATTCCTCACTTTAGGCCTAAAATTTTCATTTTAAACATGGTGTTCTGCTGCTTATTGACATACTTTTCTTGACTGTGGTTCAAGCAAGCGCTCTTGTTTTGTATATGTGGTAGAAAATAGCTCTGTATGGCATTGAAGGAAAAGTACCATATAAGTGTAAGAGGCATTGCCATCAGACTTTTTTTTTTTTCCAGTTACAACTCGTAGTAATTTCAAAGACTTATGTTTCAAAATCTCTATTGTAGAAGGAAACAGACAGCACTGGGGAAAAAAAACAGGAAAAAGATACTGATCATATGGCATTTCAAAGACGCTGGAGAGTACCTCAACATCATTCTGTATCGGCAAAATCAGACCTCTTATCCTACCAGCATGCAAAAGATACAAAAAAGTGCTGAGGAGGCTTTAAATGATATAAAATTAAGTATTTTAAGGATTAATAACATCAATATCACTTCATTCCAGCAACTCAGTGTTTTCTGTAAGCTGCTTTTTTTTTTTTTCTGAAAAATATGAGTAAGTTGTATGGATTAAAGAATTAAAAGCTCAGTTTTGAGTTTTGATAACATTTTCTCCAGATGTTGTATTCTTTGTGTTATTAAGGGATAGCAGAGTTTTTTTATATGTAATTGTATCCAACGATACATTTAATTTTTACAGGATTTTCTTTCTTTTCCAGATTTTAGAAGTGAAAAGTCCAGTAAAGCAAAACAGATCTGATAAACAAATCAAGAATGGGGATTGTGATAAGGTAAATGAGAATGAGGTAACAGCAAACTACCCCCAAATCTGATATTAATCTATTTACTAAACATCAACCTTTGTTACAGAATGAAAATCTTAGTAATTGGTATATCTTTGTTTCAGGTTCCTTTAGGTGCAGATCTTTCTCTTTTTTCTGTAATTCTTTTTTCTGTAATTCTTTCTTCTGTAACTCTTTCTTCTGTAAATCTTTCTTCTGTGCTATTTTGAAAGTGTTTTCCTTCTCTTCAATACATGTGGTGATTTGGCAAATGTCACCGGTTGGGAATCTGCCATCTATTATTTATTTTCTCTACCCCCCCACCATGAGTTTAGTTTGTGCTTCACAGATGAAGTGATAACTTTTGAAGAGGGGAATTCATAGCTGTATTCCTAGCCAATAAATCAATCAATTAAAAAAAAAATCTTTTCCAGAATCCTTTCTGAGGGCTGTGCATTAGGAAGTGGCATCATGACATAGCATGTTAACAAGAATGATAATTAAGCAACATTTACCATTTAATACTGAGAAAGACGGTTTTGTTTAAAATCATGTCAGCTGGTCATGGGTAGGAGTTGTAAGTCCTTGTGTGAATGAGCATAGCACAATTTCCCAGAATGGACAAGTTTCTCTGAAGGTTCATATTTTAGAGATATTAGTGTCAACTTTGTGATAGTGTGAGGCAGGAGACCAAAGTTTCAGTGTCTGTTGCTAGATTTTCAGTGGCCTGATCCATATGCTTTTTGGTTTCTTAAGCTAGGTGCTGCATCTCTCTGATTTAAGACAAAAAGGTTTCTGATGGCTCAGGCTGAAGGAAAAAGTTGATAATTGGATGGAGAGGTGGGACCTGTTTGACATCCCAAGAAGGAAGACAATGCAATTTACTATTGGATTGATTGTACTTGATCTTTCTCCTCTTACCTGCTTGTTGACACAGAAAATTAATTTTGTAGCTTTAAAGAAAAAGATTTAATTTTGAGCCTTTGGATTTGGGTCTTATGTGGAAAGGTGGGAGATATTTTTAAATACACTGCTTTGGCATGAGCAGTCTGTTTGACAGTTTGCCACAATTGAGATACAGAGGTTATCTTCTACAGCAAAGAGCCACCTGATAAGATTTTAATCTGCAGGAAGTAAAGAAAGCCCACAAAACCTTACATTTGTGTTGTACTAAGCTAGAGAAAGCCAGACAACAAAATAAGAAAATATAGCTGAAAGAAGATTTAAAATAAAATTTCCATTTGTATTGTTTTTGAAGACATCTGAAGTTTTTGAAATACATAGCTGTGACTTAATTAACAAGTTGTTTCGGGGGGGGATTTGTTTCTAGGCATATCTCGATGAACTAGTAGAGCTTCACAGAAGATTAATGACATTGAGAGAGAGACATGTACTGCAGCAGGTGAGGAGCACTCTCATGCAATATTACAGCATGCTCATTTAAATTGTGAAGTCACATCTATTTTTTTTCGCTTAATCTAAAACTCTATAATCAGGTTTAATAGCCCTCAAGCCTATATAATCCATATACAGCCCATTGCCACTTTCGGTACAGTTTAGGGAATCTTTACACATACTTTAAATTGTATTGTCACATTAAATGACAGATTAAAAAAGACGCCTAGTTGAGCTAAATTTTTCACCAATTCATTGTTATGTTTCTAAACACACTGTATCACTAATAATGAAAACAGGATGGGAGAATGGATACAGCTGTACACCATGACTTGATAAAAATCTCACTGCTTTTTACTGAAAATGACTGGCATTTTCTCAGAAACAATTAAAGAAGTTTTCTATGGCAAATACAAAACATGGAACTCAAAGCAAAACTCACTTTGTGGAAAATCACAGTATGTTTATTGAGTCTTCTGAAGTCATGGAAGGAGTAAAATATGAAAATATTCAAGCCAAGAAGGCTCCAGATTTATTGAAAAGTTATGCAGTAGTAAGAACAAAGAATACTATTTGTTATGAGCAGCATTGTCAGGTACTATTGGATTACAAACTGTGAAGATTAAACAATAAGCCCTGTTAAGAAAGCAGGTGTAATTGTAGCACAGATAGTTTTATTATGTTTAGTGCAATTATATGGGAGCTGTGGACATGTTGTAAAGAGGGAAATTTTTACCACTTCTAAATTATTACAATGACTCATCAAATTTTTCAACACTTATCTAAGTGTGTTAAAAATACTTTGGAAGCCCCAGCATTAATCTGTTTATTAGTTCAAGTTCAATATTGTGAGTAAAGATGAGAAAACAATTGAGAGGTCAGTGAAAAGAAAGACCTTGATTAAGGATATCATTAGTTAAAGAGGAATTCTGATAGATTTGTCAAATTTCATAGTTCCGATACACAATGATGCATATTGGTTATCCTTCATGTTTAATGTACCATTGTTTCCCAAGTTCCCTTTTGTCTACAAAGGAAACCAAAGCACACTTGCAGAAGGTGGCAGAGGCAAAATTTTATTGACATTGGGAAATTACTGTGCAGGAGGCTAAAAGGTAGGAATTGCAACACCCTCTCCACTTGTTGTCCATTAATTCTTAGAGCTTAAAAAGTGAATCTGAAATTTATGCCCTAGCTTTTCTTCCTAAGCACTACTTTCCCAGTTACTGAAGGCATAGCTTTTGAACGGTTTTAGTTCTGGTAGAACTCTGTAGTCAGTATTACACCGTTACCAGCTATCAGTACAGAACTGCACTACTAGCAGACAGCCTGCACAGTGGGGCCATAAATCCAGCTTCTACTAGGGCTCTATCGGCTGCCTGCAGAGCACAGGACTTAATGTGGCTTCATGTGAATCTTTGAAAAAGAAAAACATTTTCGAAAGCTTTTCTGCAAAGCAAAGATAAAAACAAGCAAGAAATGTTTTCTCCCTTTGAGGGTGGTCTAGCAGTGGAAGGGAGTCCTGGAGATTGTGCTGTCTCCGTCTTTGGAGCTTTTAAAATCGTGATTTGATAAGCCTGGAGCAGCCTGATCTGACCACACAGCTGAGCCTGCTCTGGGCAAGGGCTGGGACTAGCAAAATCCCTTCCAATAAGAATTTTCCTGTCATACTAACAAATATTTTACAAGCAAATAAGATCATAGAACCATAGAATGGTTTGGTTTAGAAGGGACCTTAAAGATCATCAAGTCCCACCCTCTCTGCAGCAAGCAGGGACACCTTCCACTAGACCAGGTTGCTCAAAGCCTCATCCAGCCTGACCTTGAAAATCTCCAGGGATGGGGCATCCAGAACTTTGGACAACCTGTTCCAGTGCTTCCCTACCAACACATTAAAATATTTCTTCCTAATATCTAGTCTAAATCTACCCTCTTTCAGCTTAAAAGCATTACTTCTTGTCGTATCACTACACTCCCTGATAAAGAGTGTTTCCCCATCTCTCCTGTAGGCCCCCTTCAGGTACTGGAAGGCTGCTGTTAGGTCTCTTCGGAGCCTTCTCTTCTCCAGGCTGAACAACCCCAACTCTCTCAGGCTATCCTCATATGGGAGGTGCTCCAGCCCTCTGACCGTCTTTCCTCGGGCCTTTTTTGTGGCACTCGTCTGGACTCACTCCGACAGGTCCATGTCCTTCCTGTGCTGAGGATTTCAGAGCTGTATGCAGTACTCCATGTGGGATCTCACAAGAGCAGAGCAGGAGAATCACATCCTTCAACCTGATTGTCATGCTTTTTGTGATGCAGCCCAGGATATGGTTGGCTTTCTGGGCTCTAAGTGCACGTTGCTGGCTCATGTTGAGCTTTTTTCATCAACCAGCACCCCCAAATCCTCCTCCTTAGGGCTGCTCCCTATCCATTCTCCACTCAGCCTGTAGCTGTGCTTGGGATTACCGCGACCCATGTGCAGGACCTTGCACTTGGCCTTGTTAAATTTCATGAGATTTGCATGGGCCCACCTCTCAAGCCTGTCAAGGTCCCTCTGGATGGTGTCCCTTCTCTCCAGCGTGTTGATTGCACCACCTGCCTTGGTGTCACCAGCAAATTTGCTGAGGGTGCACTCGGTCCCACTGTCCCATGTCGCCAGCAAAGATGTTAAACAACACTGGTCCCAATACTGACCCCTGTGGAACATCACTCATCACCAGTCTCCGCTTGGACATCAAGCCATTGACCACAACTCTTTGAGTGCGACCATCTCTAGCCAGTTCCTTATCCAGCGAGTGGTCCTTCTGTCAAATCCACATCTCTCCAATTTAGAGACAAGGATGTCATGCAGGACAGTGCCAAACACTTTGCAGAAGTCCCGGTAGATGGCATCAGTTGCTTTTCCCTTGTCCACCAGCACTGTGACCTTGTCGTAGAAGGCCACCAAATTTGTCAGGCACAGTTTGCCCTTAGTGAAGGCATGTTGGCTGTCACCAGTAACCTCCTTGTTTTCCATGTGCCTTAGCATAGTTTCCGGGAAGATCTGCTTCCTGATCTTGCTAGGCACAGAGATTAGACTGACCAGTCTTGAGTTCCCAGGTCTTCCTTATTTCCCTTTTTGAAAATGGGGGGGTTATGATTCCCCTTTTTCAATCAGTGGGAACTTCACCAGGCTGCCACGAGTTATCGCCTATGATGGGTAGTGGCTTAGCAACTTCATCTGCCAGTTCCCTTAGGACCCATGGATGCATCTCATCTGATCCCATGGACTTGTGCACCTTCAGGTTCTTTAGATGGTTTCCAACCTGATCTTCCCCTACTGTGAGTGGTTCTTCCTTCTCCCAGTTCCTTTGCCTTCTGCAACTTGGGAACTATGGCTTGAGCACTTGCTAGTGAAGACGAAGGCAAAAAATTCATTGAGTACCTCAGCCTTCTCCATATCCTGGGTAACTAGGTCTCCTGTTTCCTCCTGGAGAGGGCCCACATTTTCCCTAGTCTTCCTTTTATCACCGAGATACCTGGAGAAGCTCTTCTTGTTGCGGTTTATGTCCTTGGCCAGATTTAATTCTATTAGGGCTTTAGCTTTCCTAACCTGAACCTTGGCTGCTTGGACAGTTTCTCTGTATTTTTCCCAGGCTACTTGACCTTGCTTCCACCCTCTGTAGGATTCCTTTTTGTGTTTGAGCTTGGTCATCCATGCAGACCTCCTGGCATTTTTGCCTGACTTCGTCTTTGTTGGGATGCCATGGCTCTTGAGCCTGGAGGGGGTGATCCTTGCATTAACCAGATTTCTTGGGCCCCTCTTCCCTCTAGGGCTTTATCCCATGTGACTCTACCAAGCAGATTCTTGAAGAGGCCAAAACCTGCTCTCCCAAAGTCCAGGGTAGTGAGTTTGCTGTGCACCCTCCTCACCACCCTAAGGGTCTTGGAATTCCACCATTCCGTAGTCACTGCAGCCCAGGCTACCCTTGAGCTTTACGTTCCCCACCACTTCTTCCTTGTTGGTGAGAACAAGATCCAGCACATCACGTCTCCTCGTTTGTCTCTTCTGTCACTTGGAGAAGGAAGTTACCAATGCATTCCAGGAACTTCCTGGCTTGCTTACGCTCTGCTGTATTTTGCCTTCAACTGATATCAAGGATGGTTCAAATTTAATCCATAATGGTCTTTGTTACCTAGTAACATTTAAGTGTATTTGGTGGGGAAGAAATATTTACCTTTGCTAGAAAAATGATGAGTCATCCACTACAGTTTCTTCAGTCTGATGAGTACTGTGATAATCTGCTTCATGGGAAGTTACTAATATAAGGAAAACTGTGTGAAAAAAGACATAACTGAGCTGGAAATTCAGAATGTTTTACTCTGAGTAAATGAAAAATGAACAGTATATTCCTATGTGTTTTAAACTAAAGGTAGACCTTTTCTTCTGAATGTATTTATAAGACAAGAGAAAACATTGATTCATTGACCTTCACCTCACAACTCTTGTGATGAGTATGATTTTAATACTGTAGTCCATGACTTCTCATACCATAGTGTTTAATTAGTTGTATTACAGAAGTTACGTTCACGTGGAGTCAGCATTGCCTTGTTTCCTGGGAGACTGTTCTTGCAGCTTGTTTCCTTTCATTTAGAGTGTCTGCAGACTGCCTGTACAGCCCCAGTGGAAGCTGGATTTATGGTCACACTCTGCAGGCTAGGACAGTGGTGCAGTTCTGTACTGATAGCTGGTAATTGCCTAATACTTGCTGCAGAGGTCTGCCAGAATTCAGTGGAAAAGCTAAGTTACTTATGAGTTGTCTGCTAGCATGTCTACACTAGCTGGCAGAACCTGCTGTTACAAAACAAATAACACAGTTTAATTTTAAAGCCTTTAATCCCTTAATATTCTGCAGTTCATTAGTTCATACGATTTTATCAGTTTAAAGAAATATGTTCACAATACTGAATGGCTAACTTGCAGAGAATCAGTGCTTCTCTGCAATACAAATAAGCTGTCATCCCATCTTAAATGTCCTTACTGCTTTGCAGCTATGTAATGAATGTAAAAAACTTCTAGTGATCACAGAAATAAAAAGAGTACAGAGGTGAGGAAGTTTGTAGGAGTGCAGGTGTAACTTCTACACCGAGAAATACAAGTATATGGAGACTACAGGAAGTACAAAGGTCAGGAGAGCAAGGGATAAAACTGTGGAGAGGGATGGTAGTTACTACATGAGAAGAGGGATTGAATGCAAAAATTTGCAACAGAAAACTGCTAGTAGCTGCAAGACTTTTAAAGGTAATGGCAGTGTTAAAGTGGAATGGTGGTGGAACTGTGTGTTCCTGAGGGGTGATTGTCTTCTCTTTAGTTTCTCTCAGGGCATATAATAATCCCTTGCACGTCAAAGTCTTCTGTCCACAGACTTTTAGGGAATTTTTAGAGAAGGGACTTGCAAGAGAAGAATGAAAGCATTGGTCGTTCAAAAGCACTGGCTTTTGAAACTTATGCTGAGGGATGTGGAAAGGAGAGGACAGGTTTTTGCAGTCTCAGTTGTTACGAACTCTATAGGCATGACTGCAGATAGGAATGCAGGACAGTTGCAAGTGAGAAAAATTTATCTGTTTGAGAATGTGGCTCTTTCCCAAAATAGGACTTTCTCTTTGAGACACTTTACTGAAATAAATCCACAAAAAAAGGGGGAGGAGGCAGGAGAGATGTGATACTGAACTGTAAGTGCCTGGATATGTAGCTAGGTAATCCTGATGTAAAATGATATTTATAGATACATAAGAATTGTCCAAGAGGGATAAGGCAGGTTAAAAAGACCTGAACATTTGACCAAGAAATTAGCCCTGTGGGAATCACCTGAGCACTTTTTATGTGAATATTGCACCATGGCTAAACAGAAATTGGTCTGAAATTACATTTTAAAAAGAAATCTCCTGCCTCTTTCACTGTAAAGAAAGGGTTTGGGATTTACAGTGATGAGGCTTTTTTTTAACTCTGGGATTTGCAGTGAAATAGTAGGGATAACTGAGTCTGCAATCAGTTGTTAATGCTGCTTGTTGCATATATTCAAATCTGCCTGGCTAAAGCTGGGTTCCTAATTCTGCATTTTCAGTGCGGATGGTGTTAGCATGACCCCATGAAAGGCAACAAGATTTCTGGTGAGACTTTGCCTCTTATTTTGAGACATCAGAAGTCATAGCTTCAGCTTGTGAAAAGTCTTAAAACCAGTGCACTAGACAGCACAGGCATAAGGAAGAAATTGAGAGTACGCAGCACTACTGAAAATTACATTGTTCCTGTCCACAAGGTGCTTATCTTCACATGACAGCTATCTTCTGAGAATTTTCTGCAAGGGGCAGCTTGCAGGTCTGGAAACTATCAAATGGACTAAACCCCTCCATAAGTTGAAAAATGACTGTGTCATTAGTTGCACTTTGGCTTCCTTAAACACACACACAGTCATTTGCTTGTTTAAAGGCAGATAAATAGTTGTACTATGATGGATAATGATGAAACTGAGCTGGAGAGACATTATGTAAACAAAAATGTACATTACAGCAGAAAAGCAAAGCTTACTACATCAGGAACAAATGGGATATTTTTGTTCTTTGCATCCTGAGCTCTTGGAATAAAACATTTTAATGCTGTGTTTTTAATATTACAACTGTCAGACTTCCTGGCAACTAATCTCAACCTTTTATTCTTTTTGAAGTATTTCTGAATAGCGTAAGGATGCATATGCTAATTCTGTAAGTTATGAACTCCTCATTGACTGGCATACAGGCAGGTGTTTCTCATTGAGCTGTCTGGGTTTATCTAGATATATTTTTGTACATCCATTAAAGCTTTTGAGGTTCATTTCATTCTGATTTAGCAGGTGCCTTGGCATAGTGGCTATATTTCTTGAGGGCTGGCTGAGAGACATGTTTAAAATGTTTATAGTTCCCTTGGCCTAGACCTTAAAAGCCCACAGCAGAACCTGATCAATAAAAGTGCTTATCAATTTTTTAAAGTATACAGTCCTGTTTAAAAATACATGTGTTAACACATTTATGGAAACTTTGTTTCTAAAATCGTGTATATTACTGTGGGGGTTATGAGGGGTAGTGTTCTTCCATTGTAATGTGAGGAAGCTTTACACAGAATTGTTCAGCATAGCTACATCTTTCTGGCCTTGGCTTCTGTGAACTTGTGTAGCCATTTGTTTATCCCACAGTGGATATCCGGAGGCCAAGCCCAAGGTAAGGTTCCTAACTTTACAAAAGGAAGCTGGATTGACTCCTTAGCTTCTCTTTTTGATGAGGCTAAAGAGAGTGCCAAAAATGAGAATGACAAATAATACTTCTGAAAGTTTCCTTCTGGTAACAATAATTTTTGTCCCATTTTATTTTTTTTTTCTTTCATGTTAATTCTGTCAGTCCATGACACTACCCAGAGGCCCACTTCAGGAGGGGGTGCCTTTCTGTGTGTTCACTTGGGTTGTGTGTCTCATGGAATAAAACACCATGTAAGAGATTCATAGCTATAGTTATGTTGGCACTGCATTAGCCCTCTCTGACAAAGAATGCTTTGGCTTTCCAAGATGCTGAATGGGTTTTTTAAGTAGATGCACATCCTAGAGCTTAACATATCTGGAGTTACTTGTTACAGCAATTCAGTGTTGCGTATGACCAATGTTTAAAAATATAGACTACAATTCAGAGACTACAAATGTCAGAACTGCAGAAAGAAACAGGTTAGATATATACTGTTGATTTCACAGAACTACAGAATGGTTGAGCTTGGAAGGGACCTCTGGGCACCACCTGGTCCAACCTCCATGTTCAAGCAGGGTCACCTAGACCCAGTTGCCTGGGACCATATCCAGACAGCTTTTGAATATCTCCAAGAATGGAGAACTTGCAACCTCCCTCAGCAGGCTGTGCCAGTCCTTGGTCACCCTCACAGGAAAAAAGTGTTTCCTGATGTTCAGAGAGAACCCCCTGTGTTTCAGTTTGTGCCCACTGCTTCTGGTCCTGTTACTGGGCACCACTGAAGAGAGCCTGGCTCCATCTTATTTACACTCTTCAGGTATTTGTACATAGTGGTAGGATCTGCCCTGAGCCTTCTTATTTTCCATGCTGAAGAGTCCCAACTCTCTCAGCCTTCCTCACAGGAGAGATGTTTTAGTCATTTTTCTCAAGAACTCCTAACAGCTCTTCTGTTTGCTGTTTGAATGAAGGCTGTGATCGTAGATTAGTCACCAGAAGAAGTGATCTTATGCCATTAGTAGGAGTCTTTCATTATTGATTTTGTTTAAAACAATCAATTTAAGTCTGTTACTCAAGAAATAACTGCTACTATGTGAACTAACTGTTGATGTGAGTGCTCTTGAATACATTTTTTTTGTTTGATATGAGCTAGATTCTGTAAGGCTTTATTTCTTTCCCTTACTTGCAGAAAGGCTTATGATGATTATTTTCTAAAGTAACCTGCTTAGCAGCTATGCACGCGGTAAATATTCCAGGCAGATATCTACCTGGTTTTGTTTGGTTTTTTATTATTATTAGTTTGGGCTTGGTGGGTAGGGGGTGTTGCTGTTTTATTTTTTTTTCTTTTTTTTTAAAAGACTGACTTAGAAAATATGCAGATTTACTTGTAACATTTGAAAAATATATTCTCAATGGTAATTCTCAATTGTAACAGCAAATGTGTAGGCTGGCATTATGGTTGATGATGTTCTAAGAAAACCTCAAGGTACTGTAGTCTGGACCATAGTACTTGTCAGAAGGGAAGTGAGTGATAAGGATAATGGTTTAACCTACAAGTATTGGGGCAATTGAGCTTGTTTTTTGCCTCTCATACAATACTTAGTGGTATATTTATACATTCAGTGGGCATGTAAAACCACTGAAATTTTCAACTGCATCTTTTCTTTCCTTTCAGATAGTAAATCTTATAGAAGAAACTGGACACTTTCATATCACAAATACAACGTTTGACTTTGATCTTTGCTCTCTGGACAAAACCACAGTCCGTAAACTACAGAGTTACCTGGAAACATCTGGAGCTTCATGAGGATTTCTATCTGGCTGCATCAAAAACTATTCTTTAAACGAAACATTCAGAATGATGCAATCAAAATAGGGGGATAAAACAAAACAACTCTTTCAGCTTTATTTTTCCTTAGAGCCAGTCATCATCTCTCGATAAGGAAGAGGAAAAGTGACAAGACTCAGAGGACCACTCTTCTCAAGAAGAAAATGCTCTGGAAGAGTTTGCCTGGATTAGCCTTGAAAAACAAACACACAAAAATGAACGAAAATACTTGGTCTTAATGAATGTGTATGGTATCATGTATCTCTCTGTGGTGTTCCAGTCCACAAGACGAATGCATGTTCAACACACTGCCTTACTGCATAACTGATCTATTATTGCATACATGTATTCTGAAGTCAGTGAGTCATTGAATGACACTACCAGATGTTGCAAGTAGTGGGGTCTCATGTGTGCTCTTTTGGTGCAGTACTATCACAAGCCTAGTTATCTTATTCATGTTAAAATGCCACTCCTTGCTGTCTTTCTCTAGTCACTTAACACACTACAGTCTTGTTTCCACTTATTTCCAGGAAACAAGATACAAAGTTGGGGATCAAACAGTGGTCCTATATTTTGTTTCCCATCTGCCACAGTAGGTTGGACCACAGCAGGCTGGACCGCAGGTCCTTGGCTCTATCCATTTATTCATCTTGACCTGGCAGAACATGCAGCAGATAGGATCGTACGACTTGCTGTCTAGCCTTAGTGAATAGACCAGTAGGACTTTCAACAAAAAATGTTATGTATACTGTCCTGAATCCAGCATCTTTTGCAGTCTACATTCTTGTGTCTGTTTTAATGTTGTAAATTTAAATATATATAAGAGTAAAGATGTTCTGCGAGATCGTCATAAAAGAAGAAATACTGGTCTGTCTTCCAAGGAAATGTTGTAGAAAATTCTTAATTTGGAGCTATTTATTACTATGAGTTTCAACACTCCTCTGCTGACAGTGTGTGACTCATTGTTACCATAAAACTGTTTGCATAACATTTTTGTTTGTTCATATAGTATATAGTCTGCTTAGTTTGTTTCTGGTTTTGTTGATTTGTTTACACCTTCTAATTTAAAACCCTTTATTTGAAAAGAAAAAAAATATGCTGTTACACAGTTACATGTTGGAATAAATACATGTATTATATATTGTATATATGCATGTGTGTGTATATACACATATATATGCACCTGTATATGTATATACACACACATGCATATATGCTTTTTACACTTTCCAGGTTTTGATATCTGTTTAATAACTTGCTTGTGTTTCCAGAAGGATTTCTTACCTATAAAAATGAGTATACTTTCACACCATCCATTATTGCTTAAAATCAGGATCTTTGTTTATGCGTGATGAAATGAGAGGATGTGTACTCAGTTTCACATCAAAGCTCCGTGCTCTCGTATCACTGATGGTTTCTTGATGAAATCATCACCCTTCTATTAGAAGTTCAAATCCTGCAATTAAAAGATAAAAGAATTTTTAAAAGATACTTCTGGGTACAAAGGTGTATTGAGGTTTGCCAGCCTTAAAAAATGTGTGTTGTTTCTGGACAGGCCAGTATGTCTTGTGTATGCTTATATGCCACTTGTAGTCTGTATGTGTAGAGCTGAACAGTAGTATCTGTATGACTTACTGTTTCATGCACACAGTTTGTGCAGCACTGTAAAACTAAATTCCTTTTGGGGTTATTTCTTATTCAGATGGTAAATCTTAATACTGTTTCTTTAAGTCCAAAGAAAATTTTACGCTTTACTGTGTTTGAGAGGGTGGGATACAGATTGGGTTGGGTTGTTTTTTTCTTATTTAAAATATTGTTTGGCCACACTCTGCAGGAAGTCCTTCTTGGGCTTCCCAAGAACAAGTGTACTTTTTCAGTAATGTTATGACTCTTATTGATGATTGGCATGAAGCATACTTGAAGCGTTATGTTGTTTTTTTTAGTCCATGTGTTAATGTGCAATTGGGGATAGAGGGGAGGAGTGGGAGTGTAATTTTCAAGTTACTTTTGATGTAAGGCAGATGATGGTGGGGAAGGGGTGCATGTGAAGGGGATAAGCTTCAATTTTTATTGACTATTTTATATGAAAATGTTTGGAAATCTAAAAGCCACTTTAAAAATATTTGGTCTACTAGTGTGTGTTCAACATCCTATCTTTCAGTTATACCGGATACATATGGAATTTTGTCCATTTTGACTTTTCTAACTAAGTTTTCTAGTAAAAACTCATTGACTTTCAGTAGAGGAAGAGTCCCGTGATGCTTCTAGTATGACTGTTGCACTGTTTGCTAGATAAGCTCTGTTGTACACTGAGAACGGGGTGGAAGAAAACAGTAAATAGGGGAATAAATATAAAAGGGAGGTGACGGCAATTACAGTATCAAGTTAGTGCTGAATTTCATGCAGATTGCGGATCATCCTTCAACTCTTAAATTTTCTAATTCAATGGGAGAGGGAAGAAGATAGACTGCAGTTGTGTGTGTGTGCATGTTGATTTGTTTGCAAAATTCTTATAGAATAAGAGTTATTAAGTGTTGACCTAAATTTTAAAATATTAGCTATTTTCAACTAATTTTGTATGCAGAAACAAAATAAATCCTTATTCAATTAATTTCAGACATTCATATTTCTCTTAAAGAAAAAAAAAATAAGATACCCTTCCAAATGTCTAACATATATGAGCATTGATCTTTGGGATGGGTTGAAGTGTTTTGGCAATAAATGATTTTGAGTTTTACTTAAGATCAAGCTGTTTAAACAAATTCATATGTGAGAATTTAGATTAATTAATTGAGGTGCCCAGACCAAGGTTAGCAGTAAGTTGCAATATCTAAAAAATTATTTCGGCATAAGTGGGTTGCTGTATCCAATAGTAAGGGCAGTTTTCATCTCGCCACTAACTCTTCACCTCAGGAAGTGAATGGCCAATTAGGTTCAAAAGTTTTAGTATCTCTTTAGAAGTTTGAATCTACTGTGAGGCTTTACAAAAAAATTTCAATATCATCTAGATTTCAAGGCCATCTTAGTCCATGCTAAAGAGAAAGAACAAGAAAGAAGGAAGGGGCATACACTGAACTGAGGAGAGTCTTTCAAGGTAAAACAAAACCCATGCTCAGATTTCAGCCATTAGATCATAAGAAATAGTTGATCATTTCTCTCTCTCTTCATTGGCTGGATTTTTATAGGTTAAGTCTGTTCTTTCAGAAGCAGAGTACACACAGTACAGCGCATTTGAAGAGACCAGTATATTTCTATTAAGGTTGCTTTTATTCTGGGGGAAGAAATTTACAAGTTTTTGGGTTTTGCCTGACCTGTTGTTCTTCTTTCCCATTCTCACAGCAAAATAAATAATGTTCACAATCTGGTGTGAATCCTTGGTCCTTACTTGGTAAGCATCATCTTCTTTGCTTATTAGCTGTACTAGTGTTTTGGGGTCTCTTGAACGACCTGTTGATTTCAAGCCCCATTACTTAGTTTGAAAAACTACTTCCCTTTTCAGTTGTGGTGTGCATTACCTTTCTCCGGACCCTGTTCTAATGGTAGGATGTTTGATTTCTTTTGTATGGTCTTTGTTCATACCATTGTATCCCATCTTTTACCACTTACGATTTAATGTCAAACAGTGTATCTTTTAGCAAACTCTTGCTTCAGTCCATAGAGGGATTTGTTATTTATGGTTTTGCTCATTGGTCCGTTCATTTGCACAGTTTGCTGTAGTGCAATCCATTGAAATTGAGAATTACGGTGAAAATTAGCCATAGCAGGAGCTAGCAGGAGCTGCAAAAATAAGCAGTACAAGTGCAAGGCATGTGTTTTTATGAGCCTCATCGTTTTCTTAATTGTTAAGCAGTATACAGTAGAATGTAGTGTACACCAGGAAGGCATTCTCTATACTGTACCAAGAAACTTTACTGTTGGGCATAAAAGGCTTATGAACAGATGATGGGGACTAAAACTCATATATCTGCAGTGCTTTTGTGTGTGCTTCGGAGTTATTCAGTCCATTAACGCCGCTAAACCAATGACACTTACAAGGCTGGCTCTGTGTCTGAGTGAGCAGATAAATTAACATCAAAGCACAATGACATAAGGGCCTTGCATTTACTTGAGCAGCAAGAAATGCCACTGTGGCTGGACAGGAAAGAGGAGTATTACCACAGTGAGAACAATATCCTTTGCAGGGGAGAACAAAAACCAAAAAACATAAAAAAGAGATCTGTTAGTAGATGGATGTGGTTCCTCACATTAACATAGAGAATACAGTTTGCTGGTCAGCAGTGCTGTCTGCTGTAAGATAGGGTGACAGCTTGCAGAGCAGCAGCTTCTTTGGTTCACTGCTGTAATAACTGTGTTGTTGCTGACTTGATGAGAGAAAGATGTATTGCAGCATCATTCAAAAATCAAAGCTGTCTTATCATTTGAGATGCTAATGTCTGTTTAACATTTGTTTGAATATTGCATCTTATTTATATTCTATGTTTTACCTCAGCCAGACTGATTTTATTGCAAAGTGATAATCTTGCATTTTTCATTCTTCATTTAATTTTAATTTTTCCGGTCTGCAAATTTGAGCAAAGTCAAATGTAGGTCTGTGAATATAGCAGAAGATGGATTTTTATCATCATTCAGTATAATTCTGACTGGAAGTAACTCTTTCCTGAATGTTACATCAAATGGGTCATGTATTTTCCTATGTTCCTTCAGAGAAATGATGCAATAAAGCTGGAATTTCCATTAGTAAACTTTACCTGTCTCACCACAATGAGGAATAAATTATTACATTTTATCATTACTCACAGAGAGACAGAATTCAAGGGCTGTGTTCTGTTTAGGAAATAGCAGGTTTGTGAAGCTGTCAGTTATATCTTTTTAGTAAGACCTAGAAATAAAGCTTATCTCTGAAGAAAGAAAGGAAGAATCTGCAAAAACTATTTTCACTCTGGTAACGGTGGTTTTTTCCAACAGGTATAATTCCCCTTTCAAATCCTTGAGCATGGAATGGCCAGTAGAGAGACTACATACAAACCATTAGGAAATCAAAGGTATTGAAAAGATAAAACAAATAAGTTGTATTAAAAGCGTAGCTGTGCAAGTAATAATATTCTAAGTAATTCTGTTATTGCTTTCAGTGCAGGACAGTCATTCCTAGCACATGTGGTTGTGTCCACATCTGAGTGGGTGGTCTAGAAAACTGCAGAATGCTAAAGAAGGGCTTAGTTTTCGAGGAGTGCAGAGGAGACATTCAGGATAGTCTCAGCCAGCACCACACAGGCTATACAAGATCAAGTAGTTTTCTTTAGCTTTCATAAGCGACTAGTTTTCACTTCATGTAAATGTTTGAATTCTATTTTGCAACTATATTAGTCCCCACTGAGAAGTTTCGTGCTTGCTAGGGAGCTGCTTAGGTTTGAGGGGGGGTTGTTACTTTCTTTGGGCAAGGCATGAAAAGGTAGAAGTGGAACATGGTAGTAACTTCTCTTTATTATGATTTTTATTTTCTACTTTTGTCCAAAAAATGTAAGCCTCTGAAATGTTTTCCCTCAACAATTCTCTTACGTGTGGTAATAAGTTAATACTGCTTTCATTAGTGACACTTTTTGTTAGCACAATGCATAACAAGAGGATAAATTAAGATGAA